GTTGTATTTTTCCAGTGGCAAACAGTTTTAGTTTTGAGTTCTAAACTAAGGTTTGGAGACTGTCCATGGAACAAGCATTTTACAAAGAAGACCAGACACGAGCTCACACAGAGGACATAGTTGGATAGTTCAGTAGCAAAGCACAAACACATCTCAGCAGTAGGAAAGCAGACATGGAAATTCCCTGCCCACCTGACACCTCATCCAAGATAGGCAGAATCAAAGCCCTGCAAAATGTGACCCTTTAACACAGTTCTCCAGCTCAAAGAAAGGGGTCATTGTGTCAGTTCAGGTCCTCCTAGAGCATATGCCAAGATGGGATTCAACATGCAAGAACTTATTGAGAAACATGTTTATGAAGGGTGAAGGGGAGAACGAACAGGAATAGTCAGACTCAGATTACGACGCAGGTCTGTCTCCTGTGAAAAGGGAAAGGGAAGGAAGGAAGATTGGGCAGCAAGAGCTTCAAACTGCAGATGAGTTCTGAGAAATTATTGACCACACTGATGGAAATTCCCGCAGTACAGATTGCCTGTTAGAGGAGGCCCACCTTGGGCAGAAATGGCCTGGCTCTGGTACCCCCACTGTGTTCATTCATTGGCTAGGAGCAGCCAGAGAGCGTGTAGCCTTGTGTGAATGTTGCAGCACATCTAAAGGTGTGGCGGCCCAGGTGCCTGGGTGGCTCAGTCGGTTAAGCGTCTGACTTCGGCTTAGGTCATGATCTCACGGTCGGTGAGTTTGAGCCCCGCGTTGGGCTCTGTGCTGACAGCTCAGAGCCTGGAGCTTGCTTCAGATTCTGAGTCTCCCTCTCTCTCTGACCCTCCCCTGTTCATGCTCTGTCTCTCTCTGTCTCATAAATAAATAAACATTAAAAAAAAAATTTTTTTAATAAATAAATAAAGGTGTGGCGACCAGTGGCTCTCAGCTATGTTCTTGATAGAAGATTCTCTGGAAGAGTGATCTGTATAGGTATACAGCTACCACAATCATTCACTCAATTATGCATCCTGGGAGTCATGACTCTTATCCCTATCTCTAAGACCCAATCTACTGGCAAGTTCCTAACCATTTTACCTCCTAAGTATCCTTCATTCTGTCCATTTCTATCTCCTTCACCACTACCACCATCATCTTGCTCCCATCTGGTGGCCATCTTTCTTTTCATTTCTTTTCTTTTTTTTTTTAATGTTTATTTTTGAGAGAGAGAGAGAGAGAGAGAGAGAGACTGTGAGCAGGGGAGGGGGAGAAAGAGAGGCAGACACATAATCCAAAGCAGGCTCCAGGCTCTGAGCTGTCAGCACAGAGCCCCACATGGGGCTCGAACCCATGGACCGTGAGATCATGACCTGAACCAAAGTGGATGCTTAACCGACTGAGCCACCCAGGCGCCCCCAGAACAGCCTTTTAAAAATAGAAATCAGGGTACCTGGGTGGCTCAATTGGTTAAACTTCCAACTCTTGGTTTCAGCTCAGATCATGATCTCAGTTTTGTGAGATGGAGCCCTGCATTAGGCTCTGCACTGGCAGTGTGGAGCCTGCTTGGGATTCTCCCTCTCCCTCTATCTCTGCCCCTCTCCCACTCACTCTGTCTCTCTTAAAATAGATAAATAAAAACAAAAAAAAAATACAAATCAGATCTGCTTAAACAACATCAGTGATCATAGGATAAGGACCTAAGTCCTTAGCATGACCTTCAAGGCCCTGTTACAGCTTTAGCCTCCTGTGGACTTGAGTTGTCCTTCCTCTCTCTGCTCCCTCTGAGCATCAGATAGATATCTGATAGATATCAGATAGACAATCTAACCTGCTTCCAGTTCCCCAAATGTTCCAAGTTCTTTCCTGCCTCTGGACCCTTGCATATGTTGTTCCCTCTCCCAGTCATCTCTTCTCCAACCCTATGCCCCTTTACTCAGTTAACTAACCCTCATTCCTTTGCTACCAGTTCAAATATCATTTCTTTCTGCCTTCTTTGACCCTCACACAAATCCAAATCCTTTGTCATTCTCTCTCATAAGTGAATTAAATGCACTTTTGCAGCATTTAGGATGGTATTCTAAATTTGACTAATTATCTGATTGACTACTTCACTATAAAGTGTGTTTTCTGATAGCAGAGACTATGTGTATTTTTGCTCATTATTGCATTGCCAGCATTAGCAAAGTGGTTGCATTTTGTAGTTGCAACAAAATATTTGTTGAATAACGGAAGTATCTAAAAGGGTTAGTTGATATATATTTTTTCCTTTTTATCTGAGTCACTCCAAGTGTTTTATTTACTACCAGCGAATTCTATTTCTTTCTCTTTGTATTGTTATCCAGCTGTGTTGCATGATCTTTCCTCACGTCTACTCCCACCCTTCGCCCATGGTAAAATCTCTGAGGGCTGGCCTTGGACTTGGATTTTGGGTCTTCGCTGATGAGCACTGCAGGCCTGGATAATGTGCTTGTTGCAAAACTTACTGTAGCACAAGATTTTATTCTAGAGTTAGAAGGTTAGGGAGGTAGGAAGGAAAAGAAAGTGAGTTGCCCCCCAAGAGTTGGGATACAAAGTTGCGCTTTGAAAGTTAAATTATAAATCAAACCAATCAAAGCAAAAATATACAAAATGCCCCCTTAAAGAGAAATAAGGGCTCCAGGACCTACAAGGCCTAACAGTACTGTCACTTAGTAAGGCCTTGCTCTACCTAAAAAAGAAATACGTTCATCTGAGGAGGGACAGCCCAGGTGGCATAATAAGGAGAAATTAGGTAATACAGATGGGGCTGTCCACCAGCCACCATCTCCAAGAGAAGTGCTGGCCAGGACAGCGGGAGCGAGTGGCCTGTCCTCACAGCAGCTTGTTTGACCTCTGATGTGGAGGAAGATGCACCACGCTGTCCAAGGCTGATAAGTCAGACAATTCACTCTTCTGATTCTGACTTCAAGCTCACCAAGCCACCTTCCAACAATTAGGTTCCAAATTGAACAGTTACAAGAAGAGAGTGCAGTCACCAGTCTCATGTTCCTGACTGCTTTGCATCTAACAGTAATGGTTAAGCTCCAGGTTTTGGAATCACATGGCCTTTATTTGAACACTTATATACTGTACTTGCTAAGCTTGGGAATTTCCTTCATCTTTTGTAGCTCAGCTGAAAAAAATATCACAATATACTGCACCATTACAGGGAGAATTAAATGAAGCAATGCATGTAATGTACTTAGCATACAGTTTAGCAAACAGTGAATGAAATCAGTAAGTTGGCATTCTGATTTTCTACAACATAGATTTTTAATCAACACTGGAACACTGAAAAGATGAAATTTTATATCCCATAGTATCAAAGACCAAATCTGGACTCTGGGAAATTACCAAGCTGATAGACTATATGCTAGCCTTTTACCTCTTGGCCCCTCTCTGGTCACATGTGTAACATCTTGTAAAAGGTAACCAGGACTTGGCTTTATCTTCTTGGATCTCTGCCTCTCTTTTCCTAACCCTCATCTCCCAGACATACTTTTTATGCAGAAACAGATTTACCTCTACTTTGCTCTCGTGGAATCAAGAATGATTATCCTGGGGCGCCTGGGTGGCGCAGTCGGTTAAGCGTCCGACTTCAGCCAGGTCACGATCTCGCGGTCCGGGAGTTCGAGCCCCGCGTCAGGCTCTGGGCTGATGGCTCGGAGCCTGGAGCCTGTTTCCGATTCTGTGTCTCCCTCTCTCTCTGCCCCTCCGCCGTTCATGCTCTGTCTCTCTCTGTCCCAAAAATAAATAAACGTTGAAAAAAAAAAAAAGAATGATTATCCTATCACAAGGAAGAGCTCCAAGGCTTGCCTTGATTTTTTTTTTTTCTTTTTCCTTTTCCTTCATACTACAGACCAAAAGCATCATCTCCTGGAGGGGGAAACATGGGCTCTTATTTTTCTAAGATCATCATTTGGCCTGCTTCACTTCCCCATGTGCTCTTGAGGGAAATACTGCAAACACTTAGAAACCCACAGCATGAGTCACAAATCAAGTCCTCCATCATGCAGGGAACGTGCCTGAATTTCAAAGAGGCAAACCAAAGCGACTGGCAAATCAGACAGTTAATCTGTTTTTCTGTTCCAGTTATCAGACTGCTCTATGACAAAAATGAACAAACACATGGCAAACTGTGTTTGGAGTATGGAGTCTTAGCAACATTTTCCAAGTAGGACGGCTTACAAAAAGTATTTTCAGATCTCAGTAACTGATGCAGGACAGGGCTGTGGGGACTTGTGTCCAACTTCAACTGCAGCGGTGCTCTAAGAGAACTTGGTCCACTGGCATAATTATAGGGGCAAATTGTCAGGCTGAGTGTGAGGTGCCTTCCAAAATGACTGCAGTGCCTCCTCAGTCCTTCTAAGTCATGATAGCACAGTCCAAACTTTGAAAACTATCTTATTATCATAGAGATCTCCAAATTTTATCAACTGACATTAGAGAATGTCTATCAAGCATCCAGAAAAACAACAACAAATATTTTCTCCCTTACATCGGTTCATTTAAGTCCTACAACCTGACGTAGGTATGGTTATCATCCTCATCCTACAGGGAGTAAATACTCTGCCCCAAATCACACAGCCAATAAGTGATAAGCCTCTAAATCCTTGGGTATTGATGGGCACCAATTAGTCCAGGGAGTCCAAGTCTTAAGCTTCCTGTTCAGTTTTTCTTAATCAAATGAAGAATCCCCATTTCCTTGATACCACTGACTTTTTATTTCTCCGCTGACCCAGGATGAGGAGCCTGGTACCTCATGGTCACGACCAGGCTGTTCGAAGCTACGGTGCCGCCAACTTGGCAGAGGGACCAGTGCGCATGCCCAGGCTTGGGGACAGGGCGACCCCAGCTGGCTCAGCGCCCCCACCCGAGACCCCCTCAGAGGCTTGCTCCTGGTCGCCCAGGCCAAACCCGCCTCCGGACGCCAGAAACCCACAAAGCGCCGCCACCAGCCCCGAAGCCGAAGCAGGCGCTAAGGGGCGGCCTGGGAAGCAACCCCGATGGACCGAGGCACAGTAGGCCGCGCGGACGAACGACGGCGTGCGGCGGGCCTCTCCACCTGCTGCCCGGACGCGGCCTGGGCCCCGTCCTGCGGAGGTGTTCGCGCCAGGCTCGCTCCGGCGCCTCAGGTGGACGGGGTTCCCGCCCGAACGCCGCCCGGCCGCCCGCGTGCAGGCCCGAGACCTGAGCCCCCGCCTCTGGCTGCCAGCCCGCGCTCCGCGTTCACCGCGCTCGGCCGGGGCCCGCCTCTCGGCATTTTCGCTTTCGCTTTCCTGCCGCTGTTGTTGAGGAAAATGAAAGTGGCCGTGGCCGTGGCCCGGGCCGGCGCAGCTGCCGTCGGGGCGAGGGACACACAAAACGGCGGCGGTCGGCGAGGAGCCTGGGAGCTGGAGCCCCTACCCGCGCCAGACGAGGTAAGCGCAGCCCCGTGGCGGCCGCCTCGCGGGCTCCTCCTTGCGGACCCGGCGGGCGGGACGCCAGGCGGGCCTGTGACGCACGGGCGGGTCTTGCGGGGGGCTCCTGCCGCGGGGCTGGGGTGGCGGCGACGCGGCAGCGCCCGGGCCTGCAGGGCTCTTGTCCTCCGGGCCTGGCTGAAGACCACCTGAGGGAGCTTAGAGCAGCGTACCAAGGATGTGGCAGCCCGGGGCCGAGGTCGCACCTCGGCAAGACAGGCCACGGTTCCCATCGCACGTTTCCTTTTTGTACGACGCCACCGGTCCCCCACCCCCCACCGGGCTTCAGTAAAAATCGAAGTGGGGGTTGTATAAAATGCTGAGCAGAGTGCTTCACCTGAGCTCAGCAGGGAGAAACTCATAATTTACCCCTTCGTACCTGGGAGACTCCTCTTCCCCACTCAGCTCCACTCCTCCTGTAGTTTGCCTTTCTACGTTTTACAGATAGGGTGCACTTGGGCGCACCTGGGGTGCCTTCCAGCCGTTCCCTGAACTGGCAGGCTTGCAGCTCGCCTCTCTTGGTCATAGGCATGGACATCAGCTAGGCCAGGCCGTCACCCTCTCCCCAACGCTCTGTTCGTGAGAAGACAGGGGCTCGCTCCAACCCTGGGGCTGGCGATAATGGTCGGGGATGGGTGCACTCAGGGACTGAGTCCTTCCTAGACCAGGAAACTTTCTGTCCACTGCATCTGCCCGCAGAAGGGTGAAAGATGAGTGCTCTCGTCCCGTTAACGCTAAGTTGATCGTGGGGTGCGGGAACTGGGCTCCACCTCAAGGCTGTGGACACAACCACTGGGAAGACATGGGGGGGGGGGGCGGTGAGATGTGTAATGTCCCCAGGGGTAAGTGAAAAAGGCAAGACAAAAGAAGGAATATATCTAGGGTATGTACGTATGTATGTGTATGTATGTGTGTGTATATATGTATATCCCAGAAAGCCAGTTATGTGGGACAAGCATACACTGTAGAAGGCACTAAGTGTTGAAAGTCAAGTGGCTTACTTGACTTATATTCGAATGATGACGGTTTTTGTAGCCAGTACCATGAACCCTCTTTTAATCAGCGTTTGTCTCAATAAAAATGAATTCAGCCTAATCACATGGATCTGATCATAAGACCCATTACTAAAACAAAACTTGAATAATCTTAACTTTGAAAATAGCCATCCGAATTTGACAAAAGATGGCATAAGGTCCTGATTTTTTTTTAATTTTTTTTTAACATTTATTTATTTTTGAGAGGGAGAGAGAGAGCACGAGTGGGGGAGGGGAGACAGACAGAGAGACACTCACAGAATCTGAAGCAGAATCCAGGCTCTAAGCTGTCAGCACAGAGCCCCACATGGGGCTCAAGCTCACTGACTGCAAGATCATGACCTGAGCCGAAGTCTGTCGCTTAATGAACTGAGCCACCCAGGCGCCCCCATAAGGTCTTGATTTTTAAAGCATGGAGGTCTTCTCCTGCCTTGCTCCAGGGCGGTGTTGAGTATTCATTGCTTTTAGAAAACGCTGCCTTTATCATGAGTCAAAAAAATCAATTCTTGGATTCAATCAGTTATTCCTTTTCTTCTGAATTCCATAATGTTCTGTTCTCTCCCTTCTGTTAACTAAAGTTCAGCTGTAGTGGATGGTTCTCTCCTTTTGCTCCCCTGTCTCCTGTCTGCAGGGGGAGGAGGTGGTGTAGTGGGGACAACATCCACTACCTTTCTACCACCCTGTGTTTTTTCTTCCCTGGAAACTGAATTACTCAGCTGGAGACCAAGCAAGCCTCTGGCTTTCCCACTACCTTCTTTTCTCCGTAGTTTTATGTTTCATTGAGTTAGCCTCCAACATGTGATGGACTTTCTTAAATTTTTCACTGAAAAGTAATGCATGGGATTTTATTTTTCTTAGTATCTCAGGTCTCACAAATTTAATTGCTCATATATCTTAGTTCATGGCATACTATAATCCTTGGTCCATTTTGAGTCTCTCATTTTATTTCACTTTGTTATTTCCTCCCTTTATACTCCATTTCTCTCTCAACACCCTCCTCCCCATGCGCACACAGACAGGAGGCCATGCTGGCGTATTTGTTCGTTCTTCCAAAGTACATTTCATTGTATCGTCTTAGAACACATATATCTTTGAAACATATGTCATGTTTTGCTTTTGTTGCACTTAACTAAATACTATTATGCTATAAATCTCATACTATTTCTTTTTTCCCTTCCACATTATGTTTTTGAGTCGAACCATAATGCTGTATGTAAGTCTAATTCATTACTCCTGGCTGTTGCATAGTTTTATATGAAAAGTATACACCACGAGTACCTAATAGCCTCCTGGGGGTAGACATCGGTGGCCTGTAAGCCCTTGCTTGCATGAACAGTTCTGCACCAAACGTCCTTTTGAGTATCTCCCTGTGGCCTTGTGCAAGAATTTTTTTGATAGACAGACAGATATGGAACTGTTGGTAAAAGACTGATGTCTTTTAATAAAAACTGCTACTTTGTGCTGCAGAACGACTTCATTGGTTTCCTCCCACCAGGAGTGCATAAAAAGTCACTTTTCCAACAGCTGCTGGCACTTACTATTATTTAATTTACTAATTTTTGTCAAACTACTAGGTTAAAGCAGTACTCCATTTCTGTTTTAATTGAGCATCTCATCATATTGTTTTGTCATTTGTGAACTGTCTATCCATCTAATTTGCCCTTCTTTTCTTTCAGATTTCTGATATTTTTCTATATGGGGTTTGCATTTTGTTCCTTATTTTTTTGTTGTTGTTTTATGTATTGTTGTTTATTTTATTTAAAACCAAGTTAGTTAACATATAGTATAATAAATGGTTTCAGGAGTAGAATTTAGTGATTCATCACTTGTATACAACACCCAGTGCTCCTCCCAACAAGTGCCCTCCTTAATGCCCATCACCTATTTAGCCCATCCCCCCACCCAGCACCCCTCCAGCAACCCTCAGTTTGTTCTCTGTATTTAAGAGTCTCTTATGGTTCCTTCTGTATTGGTATCCTTACATGTTAAAGTGTTAGTCCTTTGTCAGATGTGGATGTTTTAAGTCTTCCCCTAGTCTTGTCTCCCATCTGTTAATCTCACATATGGTCTCCTTTTTATTATTAACTTTATTGAGATATAATTTTTATACCACAAAATCCACCTATTTAAAGTGAACTCATTGGTTTATGGTACATTTACAGAGTGGGTAACTATCATCATGATCTAATTTTAGAATTTTTTATTACTCCATTAGCAGTCACCCTCCAGTTTCCCTCAATATGCTCCTCCCAAGCCCTAGGCAAGCACTAATCTACTTCCTGTCTGTATTTGCCTGTTTCTGAACATTTCATATAAATGGGGTTCTACAGTATGTTTTTGTCGTGACTGGCTTCTTTCACTTAGCATAATGTAGTGTAGATTTATCCACATTATAGCCTATAGCAGTAATTTGTTCCTTTTTATTGCCCAATAATATTCCCTCATGTGGGTATACTGTTTTTGGTTTATCTGTTTATCAGTTGGTGCACACTTAGGTTGTTTTTACTTTTTGGCTATTATAAATAATGCTTTTGTGAACATTCATGTACAGTTTTTGTGTGAACACATATTTCCGTTTCTTTTGGATATATACCTAGAAGTGGAATGGCTGGATCATATGGTATCTCTATGTTTAAATTTTTGAGGAAGTCCCAAATGGTTTTCTAAAACAGCTGCAACATTTTACGGTCTTACCTGCAATGCATGAGGGTTCCATTTTCTTCACATCCTCACCAACACTTGTCTGTCATTTTGGTTATAGCCAACCTAGCAGGTGTGAAGTTGTAGCTCATTGTGGTTTTGATTTATGCTTCCCTGATGGTTAATGATTTTGAACATATTTTCATGCGCTTACTAACCACTTGTATATCTGTATCTGCTTTGGAGAAATGTCTATTCAGATCTATTTTTTTAATGTGTATTTATTTATTTATTTTGAGAGAGAGAGAGAGAGAGAGAGAGCGCGCAAGTGGGAGAGGCAGAGAGAGATGGGGACAGAGAGAATCCCAAGTAGGCTCTGCACCATCAGGGCAGAGCTTGAGGTGGAGCTTGAATTCACGAACCGTGAGATCATGACCTGAGCCAAAATCAAGAGTTGGTCGCTCAACTGAGCCACCTAGGTGCCCCTATTCAGATCTATTTTTAAAGTTGGATTCTTTGTTTTTTATCATAGAATTGTAAGTTATTTATATATTCTTGATATTTATCCTTTCTCAGATGTATCAGTTGCAAATAGTTTCTCCCATTCTGTGAGTTATCTTTTCACTTTCTTGATGGTGTTCAATTTTGTTGATATCCAACTGATCAATCTTCTCTCTTACCTGTTGTGTTTTTGTGTCATATCTAAGAAATTCTTGCCTAACTCAAAGTTGTAAGGGGTCACTCCTATGTTTTCATCTAAGACCTTTATCGTTTCAGCTTTTACGTTTAGGTCCATTGTCATCTTCTTCTTCTTCTTCTTTTTTTTTTTTTTTAACATAAATCTTTAAACTTTGTGTAGTCACATCCATCATCTTTCTCCTTTTAGCTTGAGCTATTTGCATCTTATTTTAAAAATCCTTACCTACCTGAAGATCAAAAAGTTTTTCTATATTTTCTCCTACTAACTTTGGTTATTCTTCTACATTTACATCTTTAACCCAGTTGGATTTTGTTTTTATTATGGCTTTGTAATATATCTTAATATCTACCTTTTTGTTCTTTTTCAAACTTTTCGTAGCTTGTCATGGATTTATTCTTTAATAAATATTTTAAAATCTGTCTGTAAAGTTCACAGAAGTCTTTCTGAAATTTTGATTAGAAATTAATTGAAATCATAGGTTCATCTGGAAAGAATTGACACCTTTTAGTGTCATGCCATCTCACTTGTGAGTATGGTCTACCTCTGCATTTATTCATGTTTCTTTTATATACTTTAATACCGTTTTT